ATCATCATCTCGATTTCTGCCGTGCATAGTCCCTTCTACAGATGGTGATGTTCGTAAATGCTTTACCCTTTCACTGGTTTGTTCTGCTTCAGGATATAGCTGAATGTGAAATTACAGTCATAAGCTTTTAAAAGATTAGGGGTTTAAGATAAAATGAGGAAACTGGTTTTGGTCACCTATGAGCTTGTATTCATCTGAAGTAAATCAACTGGGAGTAGACGCAGAGACTCCATGGGTTTTTAACATGCCTTCCTAGTTAAAACTGTTTAATGCCTTCCCTTAAATAGTTGCCTTTAAACTACTGCAAAGTGATCTGACTGTTGATAGAATTACAGCATTGTAACAGAGAAACAATTTTACATGTTCATTAGTTGAAAAGTTTCAATTTTAAGGGAGGGGGTTAAAAGTGGATTTTTATTCTATGAAACATCTGCATTAGCGCTGGTGTAAAACATGTCATCCTTATGGTCCCAACTTGAGATATTCTATGTCACAGAACAGAGACAGCTGTGTCCTAGAAGGTGAGTGAAGAGGAAAAAGTCTAAGGATGAGTGACCCAACATGTGATATGAAGTCCTGCACAGCCTGTAAATAGCTTGAAATAGCTGTTTGTTGCATTTATTTCCGTGACAGTGGGACGTAAAAAATTACTTCATGCAGCTATTTATCTCCTTATCCAGCTGTACTATCCCTGGATCTTGCAAGATGCTCTGGCAACTGCTGTAGAAACTCCAGTCACTTAAGACACTGTTTTTTCTCATGGGTGTATTTAATAGCCTGGAAAGCTACAATATTTTTCATTTGCGCAACGCTTCAAAACAATTTGCAAAACTTTTCTAACATAATATGCCCCTTGAGATACACATGTAAAATATATACTCACTTGCAGGGAACAAAACAGATTTAAAGTAAATGTAGGACTTGCACTTCAATGAAGTTAACATCACTAACATTACTTTTCAGCTAAATAGTAGCAAGCGACTGCATGCATGCCACAGCAAAGTTAAATGCATTAGCCAGAAAATCGCTGAAAGACATTTATGTATTTCATCTCCTATTCACGTAATAGGAGCTAAGAGCATGCACACAGCCACCACAGCTTACCTGACGGTAAGTCAGCCATGTGCCCCAGTGCTGAGACACCACCCACATTCATGACGAAGATAACTCATTTTGATGGGTGAAACTGATTTCTTAGAAGGTGAAATAATGGAACAATTCCTCTTTTCCGTGGCCGGTTATCAGCCAGCCCGACTATGGAAGTCACAGTGTTGGCTTAGAGCATCCCAGCTGGGAGCTTATTCTGACTTACTTGTCAAAACTCAAGCAAAAAACACTTCATGAGAAATGAAGACCTTCAATATACGACCCTAAGGGTGCTTTTCGTTTCTTTTATTGCTGGGTTGGTTTTTTTTTTTCATACTACACTTTCTCGACTTCGAAGATTAAGCCATTACCTATACCAGCACCAAAAACGTTTCCTGACTAAAACAATAGTTGTGTTTCTGAATCTTCAGCACCCATATGAATTGTCATGTGTTTATTTATGCTATTTTTTATATTTAATTTACAGTAACACTCAAAAAGAGCCTGAAGAGAAGCAAAGACACAGTTGTGAAGAAAATACCACCTTAGTCATATTTTTAAGAGTTCAATTTAAGGATTAACATATCTCATATCCCTTAATTTGGATTTATTTGGAATCCATAAGACAATGAAAGAAAAGAAAGAATGGAGAAAGGGCACAGATGCAGTGCACTGCAAATCACAGAGAGGTGTGAGAGACGAAATAAAAGATTTAGCTGTGAATGAATTGTTTTGCTTCAGGTGTCTCGGGAAATGTCCACTTGTGATCTTTCATCAAGATAAAAAAGGAAAGAATGATCAGACAAATTTCATTCACTTTGTTTTCCTGTGCAAAAAAGGACAGTTTTCTGTGGGGCAGCTGATATACAGCAGTTACACCTCCATGCATTGAAAACTTAAGACAGGAATGGGATGTCTGAATAAACCAATTAAAAGTTGTCTACTTGACTGAAATCTTTGATAGAGGGTCTTGGAATTGGCTTAGTGAACAAGGAAGGTAATCTGCCTATTTCATCTTCTCATCTTCAGACAATGGTTAGCGCTAGCCAGTTTAGAAGAAAGCATGGGTGGACAGAACTGTAGCTTTTCAAATGTTAGTTCAGTTAGAAATAGTGATTAACTGTGGACAGAGTGCAAATCACTCCAGTAGAAATGATGTTCTATATACCTACTCAGGGGAAACCCTAACCTACTACAGCCCTTAACTTTGACTCAGACTTTACCAAAGATCCCCTGACACATCATCATAGGGTGTAATTCAATACAGTAGAACAAAGCAGCACAGCAAATGTTCAAAAACACTTCCTGTATCTCACCAATTTTATTAAAATGAGACCACTTTCTTACCTGCTTGTATTCAGATTCTCTTCCAACCAGTACCTGCAGAACATAACCAACAGGATCTCCCTTCATGGGTGGGACCATTTCCCAGGTAATTTCACAGGCGTTTCCTCCCAGCTGTGTCACTCGAGGGGCTACAATAAAATGAAATGTGTCAACATTTAATACAAAGACTGCATTGAAATCTTATTCATTTACATGCACTGTAATACATATGAGAACATTTTAAAAAAAGAACTTTGGGACATCACCACTGGTATCAGTACAGGCTGGGGGATGAAGGGATTCAGAGTACCCCTCAGGGTTCTGGTGGGTGAAAGATTGGATATGAGCTGGCAATGTGCGCTTGCAGCCCAGAAGGCCAATTGTATCTTGGGCTGCATCCAAAGAAGCATGACCAGCAGGTCAAGGGAGGTGATTCTGCCCCTCTGCTCTGGTGAGACCCCACCTGGAGTAGTGTATCCCGCTCTGGAGTCCTCAGCACAGGAAAGACACGGACCTGTTGGAAAGGGTCCAGAGGAGAGCCACAAAAATGATTAGGGGATGGAGCACCTCTCCTACAAGGAAAGGCTGAGACAGTTGGGGTTGTTCAGCTCAAAGAGAAGACTCTGGGGAGACCTAATTGCAGCCTTTCAGTTCTTAAAAGGGGCCTATAAGAAAGATGGGGAGAGACTTTTTAGCAGGGCCTGTTGCAACAGGACAAGGGGTGATGGTTTTAAACTAAAAGAGGGGAGATTCAGCCTGGATTTGAGGAAGAAATTTTTTAAAACCAGAGTGGTAAAATCCTGACACAGGTTGCCCAGAGAGGTGGTGGATGTGTCATTCCTGGAGACATTCAAGGCCTAGCTAGATGTGGTTCTGGACAAGCTGGTCTAATTGAAGATGTCTCTGCTCATTGCAGGGGGTTGGACTAGATGACCTTTGAAGGTCCATTCCAACCTAAACTATTCTCTGATTCTATGATAACCTGCACTGTATTTATGTGGCTAAAACATGAAATTGCCATCGTCACTGGAGGAAAGAAGAAAACTTTAAGGTCACTCAAAAATCTCGTTTATTTCAGCACAGTCTTGCCCGATTAAGTGCAAGACTCTTGTGGTACTGAACAATAACAAACACTATCCACAGAAAATTGAGTGAAATTTAGAGCTGATTAACAGGCTTCTAAGATAGGGATCCAGATCACTTCTGCAGAAGGAGAGTTAGCTGTTAGACCACGTCTCATTTGTCAGCTGTGTGAGTCACTGGAAAGCGGGAGTGGACTTGATTGATAGAAAACTGTGAACTTTTAAAATTCAATTGCAATGCTGTACACTGATCTTTTCAAAACACACAAATTACACTATCATTTATAGAAGCAGCAGTTTCATGAAGTTCTGAGCAAACACCTGTGCCGGTGGAGATGCCTGCGTATTCCTCCCATGGTACACATCATTGAAAAAGAGAAATAATATCAAACACTTCATTCAGGAAAAATAGGAGAAGGGATGTGAAAAGGGAAGTGAAATAATCTTCTGTATTAGAGATTAAGTCCAGCCTAGGAAACAAAAGTTACAAGCATAATTTTAAAGACTTGGACTCATATCTGCTTCTGAGCCTAACATTCAGATGATCAGATATGCTATTTCCAGACAGGCTTAGACTAGGACTTTCACTAGAACTGTAGAGAAATACAATCTGTCAGCTCTTACAATGCTGCTGTCCTTGTGAGAAAGGCCTTTCACCAACTGAAAGCCAAAAGATGCTGCACTATGCCCAACAGCAAGCTTGCAGGTGAACTGAGCAGAGTACTAATGTACATCATGTTTAGATGTACAACTAAGCATCTGCCACTGGAAGGCATCAAAACAACTGCAATGGCATTCAAGGTCCACCAACCTCTCAATCAAGCACAGCAAGCAAGCACATGACAAAAAACTAGAATTGGGAGAAAGAACGGTGCTGCATACTCTACCAAGTGGTTAATATGTGCTCATGCAAGGAAATGAGCTTGTTAACGGCAATCTAGCTTCCCAATCCTATGAAAACAGACAACAGGAGTGTCTATCAAAGAAACAAATGATGCTGCTGCTGCATATATTACATGAATTTTAGACTAATTTGTTACCACCCAAGAGGAACACATGAATCATACGAGGACTCAAATGTAATCAATATCCATTTGCTTCTCTCTGCACATCTGCCAGTACCAAGAGAATGATAATAGATGCCTTTATCTCAGCTGACAACAACACTCTCAATTATTTTCCCTCTTTCTTCCATCCCTCATCCCAATACACACAGATTTTTGTCTGACACTTACACAACACTGCCATTAACAATAACGCTATTTCAGGGTTGGCATCACTAAGTGAGCAATTAGGATACGTTATATGAGAATAAACATGTGCATGAAAAACTGTTCTAAGTTTATCACATACATTCCTCTGTATTGCTCCAAACACAGACAGGAATCAACATCATCATTTTGCCTCAACAGATCTCTTTTCCCTGTAGCATTGCCTCCCTTCGGCAGTGTTCACTAACGCAGTTTTTGTTTCCCCATTATGGCCAGTGTTTTGTCATGTACCTGCGGTTCCAGCCCACACATGACGTGGTATTTGCACCATATTGACTGCTTGATATTCAGTCGAGGGTATGAGTCATATTTAAGAGGAACTAAATAGGCAGGGAGTTCAAAACCTAGGTGAGATCTGAATTTAATAAAATGGATTTCTACCCCACAAAATGAAAATGTGGCTACAGTGCATCCCTATTTTATCCATTTAGTGCAGTTAAGAGAAGCAACAACAACATGGACTTGGCATCTGCAAGAGACATCTGCCTGTGCACAGGCACTTTGACAATTACAGATGCTACAGCTAAAGCACACCCTCCCTGCTGCTATCACTTACACCAGCCTGGTTCATCTAGCATTATCTCCCTTCGCTTTGCTAGGCAGCGTATCTCACAACTGCTAGTAAGAGTGAATCATGACAATTCACCACTGGGCAAGTATATTTACCCTCAAACTTTACACCAAGCACGTACAGATAACTTCTTACAGAAACAGCACTGAAGCAGAAGCCAAAACCCAGCGATATTCAGATAGAAACAGAGGCGGGATTCTTGCATATGCTGATTTTAGTATAGTGAAGCCAGTCTCCCAGTGTTCTCTCTGTGCTCAACTGTTGTTCTTCCTGGGGGTAATTCAGAGCAGCTAACCTGGGGACTGGGGAAATTACACCCCAGCAGTGTTCTCCCTTCTCTAAATCTCTGATTACAAATGGTGTCGAAAATCACCAAAGCCAGATTTTAAAAACTGCTCTCTGACAAGCTGAGAGTTGCCATTTCTCACAGTAAATGGTACTGCTTGACAAAGGAGTTTTAATCACAGAGGGAAAAAAAGGTGCATCTCATTTCAGCTCAGTTTATCTGCCAGCTGATACAGAGAATCCGCTGCCTTTGCAGTAGTTCTCCTTGGAAAGAAGCAGCAAAATTACTTAGGCCAAAATTTACACACAGTAAAAGATGTTTCATTATAAAACTTCATTTAATTAGGCCTTTTGTTCTTCTAGAGGAACACAAGCTAAGCAAGTTCTAAATCTAACACTTTATGTATGTGAAGTATCATAATTAATTTTATACATTAAAGGCAAAATAAAGTTCCATGTCAAACATCATCTACACAACTAAAACCAACATTAAACTTTACTAATGCTGAAGCTGGTATGTATACATATATGCTACAGCTGTTAACATCCCTTATAGAAGTGCTGGGGTAATCCAGAGCAATCCCTGGTAAACACTATTGTTAGGAGCAGCATTTTAACACTATATGTGTAACAGTGGTGGCTGGTGAAACTTTTATAGTGTTTTTATTAATATTTTGGTGACAATTTCGTTTCCCACCATAACGTAACTTGACAATTCACAGAAATACGCAAGTGGCACAAACTGATTTTTCACATGTTATTGCATACTCAGGTTAACCCTTACAAACTCACTGCATACATACCAATTACTTAAGTAATTGCATGTTACTTACATATAGGTAAAAAAACCTATTACATACCTTTGATTGCAGGTGGGACTGACTTAGTTGTGCAGAAGGTACATATGTCTGAGAAAGGTCCCTCCCCAGCATCACTGACTGCCTGTATTCTGAACGAGTAACATGTGGATTCTATCAGCCGTTGTATCTTGTACGTATGACTTGGTCCCCTGTAAATTGGAATAAACCTGGAAACAACAAAATGAGAACATGTAGTTACACAGGAGTGTCACTGACATTTCTGGCTATTACACATATCGGCACAAGGTATCCATATTGTGAAAACTGGCATAATGTGCTTTTCTGAGCTGTTGAAGGCAAATACAAAACCGGCATGTTATTACCACACTATGAATGATTATTAGGTTGGAGAAAGCACAAGTTCATGGTCCCTTTTTCAACTACTACTTACCTTGCAAAATGATTACGTGAATGATCAGAAAAACAACTGTCAATGGATTTCCTACTCCCTGCTAATCAAAATGGATTCAACCTGTGCTCTGCTGTAGTACACTGCGTGCCCTGCTGCTTTAAAACAAGCTTAAAACAAGATAAATATTTTGAATCTTCCCACTGTAGGAGAGGATGAGGTCCGAGAC